TATCTGAGATCTGAAACATAAACTATCTGCCACATGCAAATCAGCAAACAAGCATAAAAAACAGCTCAGTGTTTCAGTGGGAAAATTAGTTGTCATCAATTCAGGCTGGCATGAGAGCTGAACTATCTTTTAAGCAGGTACCGCAGAGGAAATAATAAGAATTCTTAGGTCATATTTGATTCACTACATTTACTACGTTGTCCCCCAGATATCACTAAGCTGTGTCAATTGCATTTTTGTCAAGAGAGCATCTAGAAAAGTTTGCTGGGTATAGGGCATACACAGAGAAGAACTAAAGCAAGTATTCTAGTAAGTGAATAAAGGTTACTGAAGTGAAGAGGAGAGATGACTGGAGTTTTAATTATGCACTAATATTTCAGTATAGGAAATAGAATGGAGTGTGAGGACCAGTTTAATTCAGGTTTGGAAAAAACTAACATATTAGTGGAGCTCTGGGGCTACTTGGTATAAAGAATTAACTGAAAAGACTATTTCAAATTTCATGAAATTTCACACAACATAACCAGAAAGTGTGAAAAGAGTGAAGAAATCTTCACGGTGGTTGATTTATAAGTTCATCTATTTTATGGTGTTAACTCATCTGTTTTCCTGACTAGAAAGGATGGTTTTTAACCTTAGAAAAAATTAACCATGGAAAAACGTTGGTTTTCAGAAGCCAAGGTTGAATTCAATGCCTCAATTTTATTTCTATTTGCTTTTGATTACCAATGCACAAATGCTTAAAATCTAGTTTGAATGTTTTAAGTCTGATTAAAAATCTGGGTTGTTAGGTAAAGAATCTTTGGGTAAGCAAGTGTTTGAAAAAACTGAAAAAGATACAATGAATTACCCTTTCTGTGGTTGAAAACCCAAACCAATCAACCAACCAACCAACCAGTCAACCAATAAAAATCTCACAATGTTGCTCTGGTGGGAAGAATCAGGATTTGGGGAGTATTTGGGGTGAGTGATGTGCCTTCCTCATGAGCGCTACTAAGTTGAATATAGTATTAGCTATTAACCAGATGGCACTGTGACAAACCAGAAAATAGCCCATTAGACTGTGTTCGACACACTCTATGAATCATAAGCAATTTTCTGACATTTGGGAGAGTGATAAGATCTGGCTAGATGCTATATATAATAGCCAAAGTGATTCCTTTTGTGAGTAGTTACTACTCTAGAGGTTCCATTTGTGAAAGTATCTGTGAACCTTCAAGAGATGGTTCTGAAACTGGGGGTAAAGAAAGTAGCATTCAAACTTTTACAATGTCCTTATTGTGGTAATGAAGATGTTGGCCATAATTAAAGGGCCTTATTTGACATGGGATAGGACTGGTTAATTTTCTTACATAAATGATGCAAGGATTTTGTCAAGATAATTAAGATTTTACAAAGGGGGCACCATGCCAACAAAGAGAGCAGATAGGCAGGGGCAGGATGCTGAGGGCGGTGAAGCGGAGAAGGGTCCTTTGGGTCAGCCCTTGCAATACTCTTTGTAGTAATGATTGTCAATCTTTCATAAGCGTAGATAACGTTGCCGCCACAACATACATGGCCCTTGGAGCTCTTTTCCCAGTGGTGATGAGAATCTTCCATTGCTCCAGCATTTTTTCCCTGTAAATTTGTGCATTTATAAGAAAATAATCCAGGTTTAGGGATATAGTTATGATCACAAAAATGAGTGAAGTGAATTAGTCCACAAATTGTGTGGACCCCATATTGTACTTAATTGCACACACACGCACGCACACACACGCATGAAGACTTCCAAAGTTTAAGGGAGGGTGCCTTTGAGAATTCCCTCTTTTCTTTTAAGTAAGGGAAAGGTGAATCAAGTACATAGCTAGAAATGGAAATAAGAACAGGGCTGCGACAGATGGTGGTGGTAACCAGAGCTATACACTAGTAAATCTGTGTAAGGTAGATTGCTAGGGTGTCAAAGGACTTCAAAGACACACCCTAGCGCCTTTTGAAGATCAAAGTGGTATGCTTGTAAAGGACTCTAGGTGAGTAATGTCGGGAGTTTGTAGCAAGGATTCTGGAGTGGTGATTTCAATTCATCCTCATTTCACTTTATCTTTCCAAGATCTCTCACAGTACAGAAGACCCAAAACTCAAGCTAAATAAAATATCTGTATGCCAAATCTCCCTACTTTCTTAATGCTGCCTTAACACTGACCAGCACCACCCTTGGCTTGTTTAGGTTTTAGGTTTCCCCAGATCTTTATTTTATTTTTTAAAAATTTTTAAACAGATTTTATTTGAGACAGAGAGAGAGAAAGAGCATGAGCAGGGGGAGGGGGGAGAGGGAGAAGCAGACTCCCTGCTGAGCAGGGAGCCAGGGCAGGGCTCAGTCCCAGGACCCTGAGATCATGACCTCAGTCGAAGGCAGACGCTTAACTGACTGAGCCACCCAGGTGCCCTGGTTTTATCAGATTTTTTAAAAAGGGGCAGTTGGGATTGGGCAGGAATGGAGGGCAGAGCTCTAGGTCATATTTCTTTGGTTCAGTTCCAGTTGTAGGAAGAACTGGACTTTTAATTTATGCCTGCATTTGACATGATGGGTTTCCATTAACCTTTGTGTATGGACATGGTTAAGAAATAAAAAGTGGGTCACCACCAGCATCATCAAGTGAGAGAAAGTAAGCACTGAGAGCATGGAATTGGTTTTGAAATTGCTCCTGTAATAGGAATCAGACTGCCTTACCTGGGGGAAAAGTGGCCCAGGCCTAGTGGGACAGTAAGGCCTAAATTCTCAAGTCCTTTACCACAATGTGGTCCAGCCATGGGACCTTGTCCTGGCCTTACCCTGTTAGTGGTAAAGATCAATCACTCCAAGAGGCTCTTTGATTCAAGAATCTAAGAAATCACCATCTGGGGTCTTGCAGACTGTACAAAAACAGAGACTCCTCTAAAGAAGAAGATCCAGCTTGGTACTCTTCATATATATGTATCTCATATATACTGCTATGAGGCCGTGAAGTCAAGAACAGAAGTGGAAAAGAGAGGAAAGAGCTGAGAAGTCCAGCTCGGGTTGAACATGCTCAATGGAATCTCATGAAGCCCCAGAAGATGACGCTATCTCTACTGAGGATTTAGTGATGGAGCAGGATGACTTTAGAAGAGGATTTTAGTGATGGCGCAGGATGACTAGCAGTCTAGCTACGGCACTATGAACTACAATTAGTGCTTCAGAGCTGGGATACTGACCGTGGGCTGTGGTCAAGCTGATTTACATACAGCTTTATGAGTGAATGCTCCTCAGCCCCAGGGCTGGATGCACTTATCCCCTCAGGTAACCTGAGGGATGCAAACAATGAGACCTCATTAGAACCTTCCATGGACAGAGCAAGGCCCACGCAGAGAGGAAAGATGTTCAGTGTACACAGCTTTATTGAACAGCACCCTTAAAACAGAAACCAGAGGCTAACCTCCATGGTGATAGATAGCAAGGACCGCAAACTTTAAACGTATCTGTGGTTCACAGAGAACATTCCAAAAGGACTGAAAATGGGAAAAAAGGGAAATGATCATAGTTTGGGTTAATGGGTACCACGCACCCTGGAGGAACCAGAACAGCTCAAAGTATTATAGGAATATTTTAGAGTAGAGGAAGCCATGTTATCCATCTAGACGCATCCACCATAAGCACCGTCCGAGCTGAAATGATATAAAACGACCTTCAGTAAGGATGGGGTCTATCTCTGCTTTGACATTTGCAGAATGCAGTGTCTCCTAATAAAAGCACATCTTTCTTAACATCATGCCAAATCTTCCCTAGATAGAGGTACGGCCCCACGTCCCTTCTAGACTTTACGGTAGAAAAGATGGTTGAATCTGCTGGTGGCTTTGCGAAGGAGTGCTAAAAGGAACATACTGAGGGCCTAGAACATGTTATTTCACTCTGGATGTTCTGCAGTTCAGTTTTGCCTCCTCATTTCCACTTGTTATAGACTTGCTTAATTTTTAGGGAGGCAACACCATGAACTGCTGCATCTTATTTATTATGCTAATTACAATTACGGGGAACATCTTCATCTCACGTTCTTGCTGATGGGCAAATACAGGAACTCAGGGAAAAAAAAAAATCAGCGTTCTGAGTCTCATTGTGTGTAAATCCTTACTTGAATGTACCAGGATGTTACAGTGAAATTAAGAACATCAGAAACCTCTCGGGGGGAAAAGACTGATTATCTTCCCTTTATGAAACATGAGGTGGTTGTTGTTTTTTTTTTTCTGCTGAATGACATTTGAAATCTTACGTTCATTACTCACTCTAATTTTCCTTACCTTTGTTTCTGCTTTCCTGTGAGCCTTCTGTGTGTATTGATAAAATAAGTCCCTAGTACTTTATTTGCGAGATTTGATCAAACAATTTGGAGCACCTCTTGACCCTGCATATTTATCAAGCTAGCTCTAATAGAATTATTTGCTTCACCTGTTCTTTGCTCACACGGGTGTGGATCTTTGTATAAAAATAGGAGACACGTACCCCCTTTTAAGAAGTTCTTCTTGTAATCCCTGAAATCACTTATATGGAAACTATTCTTCCAAGTTTGGTCTTCAGCCTCTAGCCTCAGGAACTCCAGAGCTCACCACATTATGAGAGGAGATTATAAACTGTCTCAGAATATACCTAATAATTTTCCATTGCATCTTGAAATTCCAATTCTCTCCATTCCAAGTGCTATGAAGGTGACTTTCTCAACGACATAGAATACAGGCGTGTCGGTCATAAAACTTAAACACACCCCACATTCTTACTGTGAGGAGATTGTAAACGCAAGTTTCCAGAAGTGACACTCACCCCAAAAGCCATCCCAACCATTGTCAAAAGCATCCAAATGAATGAAAGTGAAAACCTGTGACAGATATTCACAAACTAGTTTCTAACAATAATCTTCCACACCTGGCTTGCATTAGAATATTTTTCTTAACACAGAATTAGGGGTCATTACCAAGGAGAGGGCTTATTTCATAATAAGACTGGAACTTACCTCCTGGTAATAAAAGGACTTCCTGAGGAGGGGACTGAGTGGGAGAAGAGTGTGTCATTCATGCTGGTTACAGGTCTGGGTGGCCTAAAACGAAGTACAGTGAGAGTGGAAAGTTAAAACAAATAGAAGTCACAAGTAAAAAACTATCCACCACCTTTCCAGGAAAGGGGCTGGGATCAACACAATATTTTATATTTTGTAATGAAATTCTTTAAGTGTTTTGGGAAGTTACATTTCCTTAAAAATGTGGACTGTCCAGTAAACATTAGGAGGAAAACCTCTGGGCACCACAGGAATGTTTATCCATGAGCTTTGAGCCTTGGTGTTTTCCTTGAGTCATATTCTTGAATGGAGCAAGAACTTTGAGGCAACCCCAGGTTCACTGTCTTCTAAAAGGAGAACCTCTGAAAAATTGATGATAAGCAGCATCTACATCCTCTTGGAAAGCAGAGGTTTCAGAAACTTCTCCTGTGCTCCGCATGACAATGGCTCTTTCTCAATACACCCAGTCTGGAAGGAGCCAGTTGCAAAATCATATCGGGCCTGATTTGCTCTTTGTTCTATGCGAAGATACAATCAAGCACCACAGGATTTACTGAATGTCTGTTATCTGGATGTTCCGTATAATAGGGCACATAGTGCAAGGCATCCCATAAACTTCTTTTCATATGATGAGAGAAAGAAAATAGGGCTCCGTATTTCTCAGAATTGTGCATGGCTTCAAACCCCAACCGCATGGGGTCTGTCATTCCCAGTTATATTTTTCATTTTAGCCTGTCATCCTGTCCCTATCGCTAATGTCTTAGTTCAGGCAAAATGATAGAGCTAAGACTCCCATCTCATCTCCAAGTGGTTTTTAGTCTTATTTTAGGTTCACTGGAATATGTTCCATGAGATGGGATTGAGAGTTCAGAATATGGATAATGAGGCAGGGTATCATTCTGAGAGGAAATTTTGGTCTCACTATAGTTCTATATTTGAGTTTGATGGTGCAGAATTTTTGAACACCAGATATTAATCACAGTAGCCTACAGAATCTGGTTGTGTTGGCTTGATCAAGAGACAAAGTTTTAATACTTTAGTTTCTACCTTAGGGAACCAAAGCTGGTTTTGGATTCCACAATGCAGAGATCCTGAGAAAAATGCAGACTTCTTTATCCCGGTGTGTTTATGGGACTGGAAACGATGCTATACAGGTTTTAAAATGTCAGCACTCTATGCAAAAATTCACCGAAACTTTTGGTTCCTAGTACAGTGTTTTAAGATTTTTTTTTTAAAGATTTTAATTATTTATTCATGAGAGACAGAAAGAGAGAGAGAGAGGCAGAGGGAGAAGCAGGCTCCCAAGGAGCAGGGAGCCCAATGTGGGACTCGATCCCAGGACCCTGGGATCATGACCTGAGCCGAAGGCAGACGCTTAACCATCTGAGCCACCCAGGCACCCTGTTTTAAGATTTTTATAGACATTATTTGTTGGGTGAGGTTGAAACAGTAGCTTCACTATTTCATCTACTCTAAACATATCAGCTGACATTCTGAAAACTAGCTGAGTGTTTTGCATTACTTAGCTAGGATATGTCTTTGACACATGAAGCTAGTTTAAAACTAATTCTGCGGGCTCCCTGCTCAGCGGGAGGCCTGCTTCTCCCTCCCCCACTCCCCCTGCTTGTGTTCCCTCTCTCGCTGTGTCTCTCTCTGTCAAATTAATAAATAAAATCTTTAAAAAAAATAAACTAATTCTGCCTTGAGTACAACACTTTCACTTTATAAGCAGGATGCTAATTTTATAAAAATGTCCTCTATGAATTTTGAAAAGTTAGGTAAATCAGGTTTTAAAACAGTAAGAAGAATGAAATATCTTCATTTTAACTTTGCAACAAGTTAAAACAACTTGACCAACATTTCTGGTTTTCTTTTGTCTTTAACTTTCCCATCGTGCTCTAGCTCTAGGAAATGAGAAAACAAGTGGACTTGGAATGCTTTTTAATTAGCCTGGTAAATTTACTCTATAGAACTTCGTCACCACAAAGGTGAAAATTGCAGTTTCTTAGTAAATGGCTTCATGTTTAAGGTTCATCATGGAAATGTTGAACTTGGGACACAGAATGACTAACCTTGGCACCAAATGGTGGCTTTCAAAGGGACTGCGGTTCCTATTCCCCCCATCATCAAATGGGAAGTTATTTTATCTAATAACTAGGTCACATTGGGAATTTTAAACAGATTTATTCTTATGAGAAATAGTTCCATAAGATAAAGTTGCAGGGATCTAGTGCAAAATTTTCCTTGTGGACAAGACCTTCACAGAGGACAGTTTTATAAAATTGGCATTTGGGGGCGCCTGGGTGGCTCAGTCAGTTACACGTCTGCCTTCGGCTCAGGTCATGATCCCAGGGTCCTGGGATCGAGCCCCGCATCGGGCTCCCTGCTCGGCGGGGAGCCTGCTTCTCCCTCTCCCACTCACCCTGCTTGTGTTCCTTCTCTCGCTGTCTCTCTCTGTCTGTTAAATAAATAAATAAAATCTTAAAAAAAATTGGCATTCATCTTGTGAATGGAAAATATTCAGCTTAAGGCAGAATTAGTTTTAAACGAGCCTCGTGTTACTCACTTGTTTTGTGTCTCTTAACCACTTGTAATTATGATTATACGTCTTTACAAGCACACAGGGGACTATTGAACTACTTACCAAGTATCACTTTTGGCAGCAAGAAATTGAATAGAACAGACACTGTTAATCATGGTAAAATTAACAAGAAATACAACAGCTAAGAACAAATGCCAAAATACCAAAATGTCACCACTTAAGTGGCCTTACATACCTGTGATAATTTAGAATAGCTAAATGAATGGCATATTTTAAAATTAGAAGCCTGAGCTATCCCCATCCAAAACAAAACAAAACAAAAACAAAAGAAAAAGACATGGCTATCTGTTCAGGACAAAAACATTTGAATAATAAATGAGAAAAATGTCTAAAGCTAAAAATAGAAAAAAATCCTGGTCTCATAGAGATTGGATATTCTGAGTGCAGAATTTCTTGTATATTATCTCAACAATTAAATATTTTTCACAATTCACATTTTAAAATTAAGACATTCACGCTGGAAAAATACATTATCCGTGAGTGTAGGCCACTATTTTGATTCGAGGACTATTTGGAGAATCTGGTTAAATATATGGAACTTTTCTCAGAAAAAGGCCCATTTGTGTAGAATTATAAGGGAATCCTGAAACTCTTCATGGAACTCAAATTGTGTAGAGAGTGCCCTCAGTTCAGTGAATAATACATCAGATCAGATTGCCACTATACAGTTAAAAATTTGTTTACTCATTGGCCAATTAAATACGCGCGCACGCACACACACACACACCAGCCAGAGCACGACTGGGTACAGGCCCTGTGCTAGGTAATACTGCAGTGTGACTGACCATGAACTTGACTTTTATTTCACTGTCTCCCTTCCTAATTTTGTCTCCAAGTGGGAGGAAGCATCCTAATTCTGTTCTGCTGCAAAGCTCTTAGAGTCAGGCTGTTCACATCTACTTTCTCTCTAGTTTCCTTATAACCATCAGCTCTGATTGAACGCTGTTCTCTGGCCTGAAACTCCCAGCTGGGCTGGTAGGAAGTGCTCCACAGCGGAGCTCAGAGAGCACAGACTTGCTCTCACTTAGTTTTGTTCATTTATTAGCATGTTAGTGATTGTCTCTGGCTAGGGGAAAAACAGTGAGACCTTAATAAGAATCACTCGTATGAGGCTGTTTTCTGCAAGTGACTGGCCCTCTGGGATACTCCACAGATTTATTTATCCCTGGTTTCTTTTAAGGTTTATTTTTAGGATCAAAATTTCCAAAAATAAGTTAGCCACATTCTACAGAATTGGTTTACATTAGTTTTTCGGATGCTTAGCCCATGCCAGCAACACAAGCCTCCAGGCTGTGTTTATTGCTGAAGGCAGTAAACCCTCCGCTCACACTTGGGAGCAAACAAACCAAGCCCCGTAATATTTATACAAAACCATAGACATGACATAGCACAAATCATTTGATGGTATTTGCTTAGGTCCATCAGAGGAAAGAGTTACTGCTTTCATAAGGGCTCAGATCCATCATGGCGCCTCTGATGGATCATGTTCTGAACTGCCTGAAGCATGAACTCTGTACTGGTGGATTTCTAATATTGATAGGTCTGATTAGCTGCCTCTTGATGTCGACATGCAAACCTAGGCCCTGAGTGCAGTAGGTCCTGCCAAACTGTGCAAAACAAAAAGCAGTTTGTATTGAGGGGGAACCACGTTTTCTAAAGTCTTTCTGAGGTACCTGCGATGACATAATGCCTAATTGGGCATAGAAGCCGATGACGAGCTTGTTTCTTGAGTGCAAGATAACACCAAGGAAGAAATACTTTCTTCTACCTAAGCCTCCCCTGTTATCTGGCCACCCAGGCCTGAGAGAGGATCCAGGGCTTGAGGCTTCTGGGAAGTAGAAGGAATGGGTGGGAGCACCATTTCTGGGTGCATCCCCTTCTGCCCACCAAACTCACATAGACTTTGGAGAAAGAATTTTTTAAAGTCTGTTTTTGGAAGTTCTCAGGAATTTTACCACCAACCTCTCCTTTCCACCTTCCCATGTATGGGCCATGATTCTTCCAAAATTGTGTAGTTTGGGATAAGACAACATTTTTTAGATTTGCTGATATCTTTAAGATGACTGGCTCTGCAGATAAATGAAACAAAGAGCTTTTGTATTTGGGACTCAAAGCACATATGATATTAAGTTACATTGTGCTTTAAAATTTTCTTATTATGGTTAATTTCATTGATTGTTAATGTCCAGTTGTAAAAACTCTAACATCTATATTTTATAATGATGCTTTTTGAATATTTTCTACCTGTAGGTGAATAACATCAGTGTTGCTTAATTTACTCATACATCAAGACAGAAGTACTGTTTACCCCTGCAATAAAAAAATTATAATCACATTATTTTTACTCTGTTTTTTTGAATTAAAATTTAAAACTTGGTCCCTAGCAACTGATAGGAAATTGCCTTTGTATGGATGTGAACATGTGTCAATGAAGAAAGATGTCTTTTCATCTGGAAGGCAGAGATACTCACACAATGTGGGCCAAGTTGAGTGGCTTCTCAGGCTGGTCAGGGAACATGGGGTGCAAGGGTTCACGGCTGGAAGCACAGCTCAGAGACTTGCTTAATGCATTAGTTAGCTTCTTAGCAGGGGATTTCTGGAAAGAAGAAGAATGGTAGAAGTGATAAGAACTAACATTTACATATCATTTCAGGAGATGATTTGCTTTCATAATAGATATTCATTCATTTATTCATTGATTTATTCTTGAAATCTTTGACTATCTACTCTAAGTCAGGGAGTTTGATCAGTGCTGGAACTAAAGTTCTGGTATCATCCACCAGAGTACCTGCCTCTGGCAGCTTAGTGTCAGCAAATGCTGTGACAAATGGAAGCAGTCATTGTGCATGGGACATCTGAGGTGGGACTTAAGGGACCAGCAGGAGTCCTTCTGATAGTAACTCTGGGGACTGGGAAGATAATTCCAGATGGAGGAAGAAGAAACCCCATTCTGGAGAGGAAAGAAGAAGGCAGACCCTTAAAGTCCTTCTATGCCACATCAAGGACAGTGGTCTTTATCTCAAATGCAGAGGGAGACAATGAAGAGTTTAAATCATAGAGGTGACAGGATCAGATTCTAGAAGGATTACTCCTGCTTAAGAGCAGAAAACCATCTGGGAGGAGACAGGAGTGGAAGTAAGCAGGTGAGCAGAAGGTTTCACAGGCATCCAGGTGGAAGATGTTTCGGGCGTGGCTGGATCCATCCAGTTGAAAGTGAAAGGGGAACTTCAATCGGAGTCTTTGGAGTTTTAAAATTCATGTTCTTTGCAGAGCATCATGTTATCTCTTTTTCATTTAGACGAGTGGAATGTAGATCTTAAAATTTCACAGCCAAATCTATCAAAAATAATCTACCACATATAATAAATCTTTATACCAGCTCTTCCTTTCCATGAGAAGCCACGTACCATTTTGTCACTTCCTTTTACGTGGAGAGCCCAGAATTGGCAATACAATGAAGTGACTTTTGTCCTCACTATTTAAACGCTAAGCGATAGGAGCTCTGTTCAAGCGGTCCCTCTTCGGCTTTTGTTAGGAGATATAATTTTTAGAACACCTAAAACACAGCCACTGCACCAGCTTTCCACCGCCATGAACATTGGAGCATCTTTATCCTCTTGAGGGGTCTGATTCTATTTTGTAAAGACATTGCCTTGCCATAGAGCCATATAATTTTGAGCCCACAACCTCTAAGAAAGAGGCTCCTAAACTGACGTTAGCATTTACGTAAAACAATCATTAAAAAATGCTTAATCTTCAAACACTAACCCTCCAGAATGTGAGATAGAACAAGTTTGAAAATTGGTAGTATATCGACCATAAGAAAATAGAAAGCATTTCCTCCTAGCTTCTGCACTAAATAGTAATAGCATTTCATGATCTGTGTTAGTAGGGCCATGCTCAGCATGTGACATAACCAACAATGAGAGGTGGTACCTGCACTGGCATGAGGCCCTCAGTATACGACGCCTGGTACTTGAATTTAGAATCTGACAGATGCTGAAAAATTAATATATTTACACTGAATGCCGGTTCCCAATAATCATTCCTAGAAAGAACATTCTGATTTAAAATGCATTTTCTGAATACCTCCTTTTTTTTTTAAAAAAAAGAACAATAAGTTACTCTTTATGTAAAGACTATAGGTTAATTGAAATATATAAAATATAGAAAAAACTCATAATAAAAAGTTTGCGTTTTCTTGTGTAAGAACTACTCCAAGAGGGGTTGGCAGGCTTGATGGTACATCCCACAAAAACCAATCCATACACAGAACAATACTTTCACACAAGCACAGAACAACCTCAGGGGACCCGATCTTTCAGTGTAACTGAGACATAGGTCAGCAAACTAAACTGCTTGAACCCCGAGCTCACCGAGTCAGATTCCTCCCACACATGCATCACATGGACAGACTCTCATAGGTCACCTCTGGTAAGCTGGTCACTCACAGTTTACAAAAAGATGATTTGCTCATAGAACCACAACCTCCCTGCCTCCAAAAAAGGAAACTGGAACGGTACCACTAAGCCCACGGGCTCACACATCTTTCTTTTATGCTCTAGCCATGCATGTAATGGAACCCCAGAATCTGAGAAAAAAGGAACTAATGATAATTTTTAAGCAATTCCCACACCTGAAACCAAACAAAACTCGGAAAGAACTTTAACTTACTGTGAAGACGAGATTATGTCCCAAAGATGCTTGTTTGGTTGTTATCTAAACCAGTACCGAGCTGATTGTATCCCAAGAAGTAACAGAGTGTGAGTCTTCCTAAACTCTAAGTCCGCGGACGCTGCACTGGGTTCAGATGCAGCAATGAAGATGTCCCAGTAAGGTGGGGGTGTGGTGGGGGGCGTGCTAGAGTAGAAGTTAGGTTTGCCCCTCTATTCTCCCGCCATCCTTGCTGTTCCCTTGTGTTCTGAGCGACACTCACACATCCGAGGGTGAGTGTTGCCAGGACCTTGCCTTACCCATGAGGTGTACTCTTTCATTTGGTGCTGGTTGCTATGGGAACCGCCAGCATGTCCCCTCCAGAAGCAGTCCTGACAGAGCTGGTAGTTGTGACACTGTTGGCATCGGTAGCGGAAGCCCATCATGCTCTCACTGTGGCAGTAGGAACATTCAACTGGATGGAAGACTATGGGGGAAGGAAATGGAGGGAAAAAAATGAGAAAATAAAAGTCTAAGCCAGAATAAGGAAAAATGCAGCCTAACGGGAACTGCGTTTTTCTGCTGTGTGCCATGATTTCAGAGGATAGTCAATTTTGGCCGAGAGGAGCATTATGTTTATTTCTGGACGCTCAGCACCCTTTTCAAGCATGTGTGTGGAGGTGGAGGAAATGAAAGGGGATGGAGGATAGGTCTTCTTTTAACCACAAATTTCTCTCTCCACTTCCATCTCTTACACTCTGAGAATATAAATTACCCAAACTGACTCTCCTTTCCCTCAAGCTGCTCCCCTGTCTCCAGGAGACCAGCACAGCGTGCTGGAAGACTCAGAAGCACAACAGATGAGCACAACTGACTGTCCCCTGAGTGGAGAGCAGATATTAGAGAAATGGAAAACAGAGGGAGAAAAAAGAAAAGAAAGGGGAATGAGGGAGAGTAGGAAAACTGGATGAGAGAATTGAATTATTTTGTTAAAAAAATGGAGTGGCGAATGGCTTCTTTCATGAGTGACATTACCTCCATTTAACAATTTCTTTTTTTTTTTCCTTTCCCGAGAGGCAGATGGACAGAGCCCAAAGAGATGTGTAAATGATGTGAATGCACTTCTAATTCAGATAGTTAGAAAAACACTTAACTCTCTCTGACAGACAATTTGAATTATAAAGCAGGCAAGGTAAAATGCTTGAGATTTGAAGCTAACATACAATCAAATCCAAGTAACTGTCCACATGCTATGAGCTAAAGATATTAAACAACAAAAATTCTTGCCTTTGGTCAAGTTATTCTTTATGTAACCACAATCATTGAAAGCTTCCATTTGGAGCATACGACTGAAGATTAGCAAGGTACCATTATCTAATTTTTTCTCCATCTCCCCCACCTATTCTTGGCCAAGTGCCTAGGAATGGTCAATGCCGTGAACACCAATATGGGAAGTTCAGACCTAAAAATAATCCTGGAAAATGTCCTATTCATTATTGAGATTCTTCTTCTGCTAGAGCAAGTCTACATAGCCACACGTGACTTCTAACTGAGAGACACATGGTGAGATTAATAAGTGTATGGAATTGACAGTCCTAAGTTTGCAGTGGACCTCAAAGGCCTTACTGATCAGGGGGAAAGGTTCTTTCCAAACTCAGAATTACTAAACGACTTTGGCTTAATAATGTAGACTTGATAGCCTAATTTCAATAATTTTAAAAACTGCCATGGCTCAGGAGTAACTACTCACCGTTTTCCACATTCGCCAGTCGATGCAGAAGGGGCAGCCAGACCAGACACTGGGGGGGAGGGTCAGACATGAGTGTGTCCAAGAAACCATTTAAGGTGACTTTTTTCTGCATCAAAAAACCCACAAAAATTTAGAACAGAAAATAATTTCAATTGACCTGCTATGTAAATACCATCACCATCTGAGATGAAAGACACAAGACGTCCAATTAACCTCTAATATATAAAGAAACAGAATATATTTTGACAGTTAAGAACCAGTTCTGAATTTAAACCCTTTGGTTGCTTTTGACGCTTAAACACGCATAGGACTGGGTTATCTCCTCTGAGGCTGAGTCCATATTGCCACAAGGAGAACAACAGTTCTGGGAGGGGCGCTTTTGTGAACCAGGGACAGTATGAAAGTGATGAGGGAAGATGAGGCATAAACCTGCTCTGTAAAATTTGACCCAACTGTGTGACCCACAATTCCTGTAGCAGGTGGTCTTCCCCATCTGTAGAACCACTTCCTTTATATACTCCCTCTACTCCCCCAAGTCCTACATATGTCATGGTTAATATGAATGGTTCTGCCATACAAGATCAGGAGGATGTCCTGTTAGGAGGGAGCGACCCTTTGCTGTGAGGAGAGAACCATCTATATTTTTGAAAATCCCTTTTCTCTTTATAGTTCTTTCCTCTTAATTCAGTCTGCATCTGTTTGCACTATCCTGGTCCTTTCCAATGTAGAAGAGGAATGTATTATAAGTTTCCTTCAAAATGACAAAAAATAAGAAGTTATGGGAACACATGATATTATCATAGGATGAATGACAAAAAATGACATGTTTATGTGCAAAAGTCACTATTTTGGAAATTTTGAATCATAATATCAGGTGGATGGGGTAGTTTTTTGTTTTTTTGCTTTTAAATTTTATTTTAATTCCAGTAGAGTCAACCTGCGGTGTTATATTAGTTTCAGGTATACAATACAGTGAGTCGGCAATTTGGTACATTTCTTAGCGCTCATCGAGATGAGTGTACTCTTAATCCCCATCTCCCTACCATCTCCCCTCTGGTAACCATCTGTCTGTTCTCCACCAAAGACCCCAAATAACCAAACCAATTTTGAAACAAACAAACAAACAAACAAACAAACAAAGCTGGAGGCATCACAATTCTAGATTTCAAGATGTACTACAAAACTGTAGTAATCAAAACAGTATCGTACTGGCACGAAAACAGATCAATGGAACGGAGTAGACTGCCAAGGGATAGTTTTTTATCTTTAGACAAGAAATCAGTGGTGAAGAGCTATAGTACCTTTTCAAGGCACCTATCTTAACACTAATCCTTGTCATTCACTCACAAAATATTTTGGTATGCTTTAATTCATCTTTTCTATCAGCAGATATTTATAATTTTAGCTTTTCCTCATAATACTAAATAGCTTAAGCGCTATAGAATCGATAGCAACATTATTATTAAAAGATATTTTATACAAAGTATAAGTAATGAGACATTTTGGAAAAAGCTACCACAACTTGTAGCATCTAAAATAATACTGGCTTTCAAAATAATCACTTGGAATGGCTTGTACTTTTTCCAATGAAGCAATGCAAACAAATGTAAAATTTCATCACTCAAACTGCTGTGATAGCCAGTTTATGAAGGACAAAAATAAACTGGCCTTATTATTTTTATTTGTGTTGCCTCTTTTTATACTTCAAATGATCTTATCCATTTTGATCATTCATCATGCTGGCTAAAAATCACTTCTGGCAGTTTCCAAAAATGTGATTATGATTTTAACATATATAAATTTCTCATCATTGAGGATATATAAAAAATTATATAATAGGACTGTCTACAAGATTTCAAAAGGAATTTTGAGCAGTGGTAACATCATATATAATTCTTATTGAACATGTAGGTCCTATGAAAATAGAGAGAGAGTCATCAAGAGAAAGAAAAGCAGAAACAAACTATTGGGACTACACCAAAATAAAAAGCTTTTGCACAGTGAGGGAAACCATCAACAAATGTACAAATGTACAAATAAACAAACCCAGAGGCAGGGAGACAAGCGTGGCGGTTAGTACAATAGGCCAGGCAACAGATGAGGATGAGGAAAAGTATTGGGAGAAACATTTAGATGGGGGAATCAGCAGGACTTGAGGACTCATGAGAACTACAGGGTGAGGAAGTCGTCTGGAAGGAGGCTTAGGTGAATGGAACCATTCTGATGTTACCAACTCGAAGGACAAATATAGAGAGGAGTGTGCTTCAGCTAGGAGCAGAGATGAGGGACCTAAGCTGGCCTAGGGCTGGGGGAGTGTGAGGGGTCAGAAAGGCTTTCTGGATGAGACAACACGGGACCAGAGCCAGCATTTAGTGTATCAAACCGTCCCACCTCTTATTAGTTGTATGGATACCTATGATTCTACATCAATCCATGACCGGCAGGGATGTCTGAGGCACTTTTGACCTCCTAGGTCACAAGGAAATAGACTGATGAAGTTTACTAGGTGGGCAGTGAAATGCAGGTTTTCAGTGGCTGCTATGCCCTGATTTCTTAAGTAAGGGATTCTTTTAGAGGATATACTTGGTTAGTATGGATTTTCAAAAAATTTTAAGCAAACCTTCAATTTATGGGTTTGTAAACTACCATTGCCCTGTGCTGGAGAATGGTGCTGGTTATGCAGACTTTGTACATGACTGGGCAGATGCAAACATTGAGTATTGAGCTATACTCAATAGCTTCTCTGGGCTAACTTGTACCACCCCCAGTTAAAACATGTCACTCTGAAGCCCTAATATATCATGTCGTGGGGGACTTAGGCAGCTGTCTTTGTCATACGTCAGGACTTCCTGTGTGGCATACACTATATGATTCCTTTCTTGTTTCCCTTGCTACACATTGGTGAAGCTTGGAGCTGGCTCTGACTTGTGTTTCATGTGAGGCTGAGTGACAATTCAGCTCTTTTGATAGTGTAGTGATAATGACAGCAATTATACCGAGGGTAGAGTTTTGTAGTAAGGATTAAATTAGACAATGCAAGAAAAGAGCTTAGCATGGTGCCCGACTCACTGTCAGGAAGTACCGCCGATTATTATTTTCCAGGTATGTTGAGTTGAATTACTGGCTCAGAGGTCATTTGTCAGAGGCTGGGAGATACTACAGGTTATCATGAAGAAGACGTTGTCTGAGTGGTGACATGGAGTAATATACCAAAGGACAACCACTGTGTGAGAGACATTTCCTTTTTTTCCTACCTGTTGAGAGAAACAGGATCTCGCTGACTGCTCTGTATAACCAAATGAAGGACCTTCAAAAACGGCTGTGGGTAGTTTGAGAACTTCCCGCAGGAACTGATCATATCGTCCATAAACCATCACCCCACTGGAGTCAGAAATCATGGAGAAAATATCTGATGGAAGGAAAAGGAAAGATATTTACTCACCACATGAATGTATTCTCCACTGTTTCAGTGAGACATATCTGCTGCAAATAACAAAAACTGTAGCAGAATAAGTAATTTTTTATGAAAGAGTAACATAGAAGTTAATTGTTATGCTGAAATATTCCTGGCATAGTGTTGTCCTTGGTGTCTTTTTGTAGCTGATTCTGGAACATAGCATTAATTTAGTTAAAATTAGCATATTTTGATAAGACAGAGAGCATCACATTTTTATTTTGAGGTCAATTATAAGCTCATACATCACTCAATGGAAGGAATTTTTGTATATGTGAGGAAAATGCTGACCTCATTGAAACACACAATGAACATATACTGTAACGGTGAGGTGTGTATGTATTTAGCTAGCTAGCTACTTACTCATCTATATTATCACCAAGACCTTTGAGTTTTGGTTTAAGATATTGAAAAATGAAAACGCAATGGGGATAAGGATGTAATGAAAACACCTGATTAACTTCCCACAGAAGCAGAAAACTTTCTATAAGTCATCGTGTTCCAGGTGGAAGGCACTTGATTTACAAGGAAGGGTCTTTTGACTCATGTAGTTGAGGGGAAACCTGGCCTTGGGGAAGATCAATGAGGTAAAGTCGGCATCCTGGACAGAGTCTGTGTCTTCATTGAACCTCTGTTCTTCAGTTTCTGCCACTATGGGCACTTAGTGAATATTAATGGCATAATTTCTCAAGGTACTTTATAATTCCTCTGTGGAAGTCACTACAGGAATGAAAGCGTCTGCTCCCATATAGTTTGTCACATGATGGATTATAACTAGGCTGGCACAGCTGTTGGGATAAACTGTTGTAAATTCAATGTGCTGCCTCTGTTCATTTTGGGCTTAATGTCTCAAGGTCAAAATGCAATCTGGGGACATGGTTTTTACACTGCAGTCAGACGTTAAGCATATTACAGGCTTTTGCTGGATTATGTTTTGAGGATGTGAACTGACTCTCATTTCCTTCAAATACTCCATTTATAAAGGATTTCTACTGTGTTTCAAATAGTTCATCAATTATGAGGCTAAAGAAATTTTACCTAAGCTACAAAATTAATGTTGTTCTCATTCACCTTCACAATGGTTAACTTCGTGAATTTTATCTCTTACGTTTCATTATAACTGGTTAAAAAAAAAAGAAAAGAAAAGAAAAAAGTTGCCAACAGCAAAAAAACTCTTACATAATCCCATATATAGAAACTCAAGAATTCCAATAAAAAGTAGAAAAAGGAAACCCAGGAAAAGTAAATGGACTTTCTTATCAGAGCTGCCATCTTGTGTGTTTTTAGGCAGGTTGGTCAACTATAATTGTGTCATCCTGATGATCTTCTAGCCAGGACTTTTCTAAGCCAGGATGCATTTTGAAAAGTAGCCCAGGCCTTTCAAATCTCCCATGGAAAGAATTTAGACAACAGTTCTAACTAGAGCAAAAGCTGAAGGAGTACCAACACTGACCTTTCACAAACTTGAAGCTCATATTAAACTTGTTTGTGTTGATGAAGTTTTGTTAAGCAATAGCCAAACTAGGGCTAGGTCACTGGGATCAAAGGGAAGGGGCTGTGAATGGTCACTCTGGTTTTTAAAAAGAAATGAGGGGACTCTAAGGAAGCTATCAAAATGATGTGTTGGTACTTTAGTTCTGGGCTCTCATATTATATAACAATATATATGCACATATGGATATAAAAATACACATACACACATATGTAATATGCTTATAATATGTAATATATGTGCATGTAATAAAATAGAAGGTATTTCAAAGATTAAATTAGTTAATAGATAAAAAACATACAGATGTAAAGAACACAGAATAGTGCTTGATACTTAGTACATAGTACAGAAATGTGAGCTATTTTTACTGTTAATTTCATATCACATTTTTTTCTGTTATTTACTTCAAATGCATAGGTTTTGCCTCCCCAGTGGGATTGTTCTGTAACGTTCCCAATCATTCTCTAAATCACCACTGTATTTCCGACAGCACCACACAATGATAGATACTTTAGAAGAATTTATATTCTTTGATTCATTCCACTAAAATTAACTTAGCACATACAAAATGTGTAAAACTGTGCTAAACAATGAATATACAGAAACATCAGGACATAGATCTTTTTTATATTATTTTTTAAGGAATTAAAACAAAATTTTATTTGAAAATATATCGAACTTAACAAAATAATTGCAAGAATAAGAGTACTACAAAGAACACCCCCACACCCTTTATCCAGATTCATCTATGAACACTTTATTCTATTTACTTTATCATCTATCATCTATCATCTATCTATCTATCTATCTATCTATCTATCTATCTATCTATCTATCATCTATCAACCTATTATCTGTCTTTGTCTATCTGTGTGTATATATGTGTGGCAAACATACAATTTTTTTCTGAATTGAGACTAATTTGCATATATCATGGCCTTTACCTCTGAACACAGCCAGTGTGTCTTGCCTAAGAGTAAGGGTATATCTTCTGATGAGACTACAGCAGGGGTCAGCAAACTTTTTCTGTAAAGGACCAGATAGTGATATTTTGGGTTTTGTGGACCATATATGGTCTCTGTCACACACTTGTCTTTTTACTTTTTACAACCTTTAAAAATGTGGAAACTCGTCTTAGCTCACAGACCATAGCTTGTTTACCCTGGGTTACAGGGTAATTATCCACTTTGGTATATCTAACATTGATACACTAATCTTATCTAATATTATCTAACCTACAGGCCATATTCCAATTTTGTGAATTGGTCAGTAATAGGACATAGTTCTTGACCTCTGGGAGGTCCCAGTCCCTTGAGGGTGCAGAGACGTGCTTACAGAATGCATCCTATGACATCATGAATCCTAACATGGTGGTGTGACTACCAGAACAGTAGGGTGCACGGGGTGCAGCAGGAGCTCAAAGAGAGGGCTTCTAGAGTGAGGGAAGATTTCCTTACACAGGTGACTTGTAGGTCTTCCTAGGTGAGAGATGGGACTTCTAGGCCAAGCATAAAGGACAGTTAGGAGCTAGTCAGGCTTTAAGACACAGAATCAGGATGTGCACGGGCACGCTCAAGCATGATACACTCAAGGCTCTTGAAGTAGTTCATTGTGCCAGGGGCCGTGGGTGCCCACAAGAGCATGGTGGGAGATGAGGTAGAGATCTGAAGAGCTTCAAGGCTCTACTAAGGAGTTTAGGTTGTGTCCAAAAGATGTTGCAGGAGATACTAAAGATTTAAGGCAGGCCAGTGAGTTAGAAATATTACCCTAGGGGTAGGTATGGAGAAAGAACAACCAGTTCAGTTATAGAAACTCAACAAATACCTGGTGTTTGCCACAAGGCTAGTCTTGTAAACAAAACCAGCCCTTCCCAGAAGCTTTAGCACAGCACCTGACATTCCAGGCTTACAGCATTGTATTCAGAACTTCTTAGGATCCTTAGGACTATCTGAGAGCCTCAAGGAAGAAGTATAAACAGGTGTACCAACTCATTACAACGACAGCTTATAACTGGACCAAGAACAATTCAACAGAAACAGGGTATTTGATTAGGTTGGTTTCTGTTTAGGTTGCTGTGTCCCAGCACTGCAGGGGGCAGCCTCATACTCGAGGCTGCCTGGAGGTATGCAGTGAACACCCTGCATATTGGTTCCTGGCTGCCCCAAGTGTTGGAAATGGTGGTGCAATATGGATTTTTTGCCCATTTTCACGCATTTTAAAGCAGTTTGAAAAATTTAGTTTAAAATTTTCTGTCTTTCACTTTTTGCTTTCTAAAGTTCCTAATTTATTTTCACAATGACTCTTGCCCGGCACCCTCCCACATGAAGGGGCTAGTTGGAACAAATAAATACCTCTCATCCCTATGTACAAAAACAGAGAAATTGCCAAACAAGCACAGCGGTGGCATAGTGGCTTAAAGTGAATTAGAATTGAAAGAAGGGAAAACAAAACCCTGAAATACCGAGAAATTCCATATCCTTTCATTTTATTTTTTCTTAGTACAAAAGCAATGCAGAAAATCATTACTAGTCTGTTTTATCAGTAAGTGCAGCTAGCAAAAGGAGACCAGAGAAAACACAATCCTGCTCATCAAGAGTCAGCCTCTGCTGTCTGTGGGCAGATTTGCCCATATTTGTGTATTCAGTTAATAATTATCACTGAAACTAGAAATATTGATGACTGAATATATTTATTTTTGACTAACATTTTAGAGTTCTTCTAAGCAAAGTGCTTTCAGTTAAATTGTTTTTGTCAAATTGCTCTCAATCGACTTACCAGGAAACCACGAAAACCACCTTCTTGGGATTAAGTATACAAAGAGTGACTCCTCAGCTGGAGAGCTGGGGACACATTAGGCTGTGATTCAGATCCACCACTCTGGGAGAGGGCAGCGTGATATATCTCATGATCATACTATCTGTTTTTGTTGTTCTCCAGAATTTGTGACTCTGAAATTGATTTCTGCAGACTGGAGAACATGGTCTACTTCCAATGAGACTCATGCATTGGTCAACTTCTTTCACTGCACTGAAGAGGATTTCCTTTGGCCACTAGGTAGCATGCATGCTTTGCTCACTGATGGCGGGGTGAGGAGAAAGCACCCTCGTGGTGACTTTGTTGGCTTTGAATTCCTCGACATGCAAGAGATCTGCCAGGGCTTTGACAGTTGGTAAAGATCTGCCCAGAAACTTAGTTATCTTGAGCTTTGTAACTCTGCAGACATGGTTCCTTGCTGACCTAACAACCATTCCCTTGGTCTTTATGGGCCCCAAATTTCTTCCTGCGCTAAGAAGGGAAAGCAGAGGCGTTTCCCAGCCCCAGAGGCAGGAGTGGATTCCTCCATGACTATCATGGGGATTCCTTTCTTATTACCAGTAACTGGTGTAGTCCTGGGCAGTGACACTTACAGGCTGGGGGCCTCCGGAGTGAGATGTGACTCCTGAGACTGCCAGACCCCTTCTCCCAGGAGAGAGAGAAAATCTGCACCAGTGAAGCCTGAATGGAAAGATGGAAAGCACTATGGTCCTTGATGACACAGAATTAGCTTGGTTCATGAAAGGCTCCAAGGACCCCCAGGAAGGTCAGAAAACTGGTTCTCTCAGTTTTCCTGAAACTTATTTTAATATGGAATCCTTTTATCCATGTCCTTATTAATACAACATTGAGTAAGTATTTGGAAATGATTCTCAAGACTTAAAAACAAACCATGTATCTAATGTCCTCAGCATAAGTGGCCAATTGTGACATGAGGTCCACAGACAAGGCCCTGCAGAGTTTCCTCCTCCACCCTGGTTCCCTGTGCTCAACTTTCTCTTCCCAGCCTAACCATAGAGGAAATGCCTCACGGATTACTATGAAGCTGTGTTTTAAAAAAGGACATTGGTTCCACCACCTTCTAATTTAGTTATTATCCCCACTCAAGCACTGAGGCAGATTTTAATTTTTAAAATATCTTTCAGGCTAGCTAAAGAGAAATTAATCTCTCCCTGTAAATCCTGCTTGGGCTTCTCTGAATCTGAAATGCATTTGACTGGTCCACGGAAGGAGGTTCCCAAAGTGTGGGGAGATGTGTGCTTGTGGGGTTTCCATGTGCCTTCCACTTATCTACTGGTTCAATGACACAACTCTGTCTTGGAGTATGTCTGGGGAATTCCAGAGGAACAAAGAGTTTTTTTGTTTTTTGCTTTCCTGTATCTTGTTCGCTTCCCCCCTCTTTGTGCATCAGGAAGAAAGAGATCACACTCCGAAGCTGACAGGCAGCAGGTGAGAAAAGTGCCTGGAGGCTGTGAGTCACAGATGAGTAGAGCTGGGAGGGACCCTCTGGGTAGCTAACAAAATCCCCAAATTTGGGATAAAGATGGAAGCCAAGGACTAAGGAAGTGGAGTAACTTCCACAGAATAACTCAGCGAATTAGTCACATAGCTGGGCTTGCAAGCTGGGGTTCCTGATTCTCATGACAGTGCTCTTTCCCACATAGCATTATAACCCAAACTCATCATATTTAAGGTAAGGGAAAGGGGTAAGTGGAAATTTTTCTTTTAAACAGCAGCATCTACATCATTTAAAATAGTTGGAAATGAAAATTCTCATCCCCTACCCCCACCCTAGGTCTTCTGAAACAAAAACTCTGAGAGTGGGACCCAGAAATCTATGGTTTTAAAAAGCCCTCCAGATGGGGAAGAATGAAGGGGGGAAAATCGGAGGGGGAGATGAACCATGAGAGACGATGGACTCTGAAAAACAAACTGAGGGTTCTAGAGGGGAGGGTGGTGGGAGGATGGGTTAGCCTGGTGATGGGTATTAAAGAGGGCACGTTCTGCATGGAGCACTGGGTGTTATGCACAAACAATGAATCATGGAACACTACATCAACAACTAATGATGTAATGTATGGTGATTAACATAACAATAAAAAATTTTTAAAAAAGCCCTCCAGATGATTCTATATATCCTAAAATTTCAGAACCACTGGTATAGAGAAAAAAAGTCAGGTTCAAATCCTGGTACCACCTTAGCTATATGATTTACTTTATGCTACCTCTCCGAGTCTCAGCTTCTTTACCTAAAACAAACAAAACTCTTGTGTTTTCTTGGTTAAAGAACTACCACATTTGGTGACAAAATGTACATAAAAGGGCCCACAATCACTCAGTGCACCTTAGCTACATGTTTTTACTGGAATCCAGTTAATTCTCAGTCTGTAGTGTTTCTATGCAATTCTTATGCCTCTACCTTGGCAATGTCTACTTTGGAACCTTTGGGATTCCCAGTGATTTGAACAGCACTGGCTAAGAAGAATGAGGAAATGTGCCAGGAGCTTTGGCTTTAGATTACCTAAAAAAGGGAGATTGTCCAACATGGCTTTCATGTCCCTATGAAGATGGACTTATGCCTGTAAGGCAGTATAGTACAATGAACTTGAAAGGATATACATCTTACTTTAATACTACAGCCTAGTTGGTGATACTCAACAGGTTATAACTAATAATAATCCATAAGTAGAAGGAAAACATTCATTATCATTAACATTTATCTAATATGAAAATATTTCTGTCATAAAATCCAAAGATCCATGAAGATTATATTTCAAACAACTTTCACAGAATGAGGAGAATCCAAATGGGCAGCAGGACATAGCAGAAAAATGGGGAAAAGAAAACGTGGCACATGGGAGGAATAAGCAAAGAGAGACACAAAGAATAACTTACATCTTAATTTGTCCATGATCTTCCCTCCACACAATGTGGCTAAAGCCATTTTGACAGCAAATACTGAAATTTTACCATGGCCTTCCCTGTTTAATGATGAGAGAAAGAGAGAGAGAGAGAGAGAGAAAAAAAGGTGTCATTTGGAGAACTTCCAGTAATGAGATCTGACATTTTCTGTTCTGTAGAAATCACAGGACACTGTAGCTGCATACATTATGTGAACATACCCATTTTGAAAAGACCATGAATACAATTCAACACAAATTTCTGAAAAGCTGTCTATTCAATGTTTCCTTTTTTCAAGAGAGAGCAGAATCTTCAAGTTATTCTTTGTATATGTCACTTGCTCAAAGCATGAACTGGCAGCTAGAGGGATATGTACTATTTAGCCATGGATTACAATTACAGAACATGATTTCACTCTGGGTTTCATAAAATAATTTTATGCATGATGATTCCACAGTGTCTATAATTTATTTAAACAAGGTTTCAGAAAAAAATTTTTTTTTTTTGGTCAGAGAATTCCGGAATTTTGTTAGAGTAACTGTGGGGACTTTTCCATCACACTTTTTTTCCACCCATTATTTCCTATCCATAAGCTGACTGTGTGTATGTGATATATTTACTTTTCAAAGAGAGTTACTATTTTAAAGTGGCAAAAGGAAGAGCTCTGTTTGAGCTCCTTCCACCTAAATGACACCAGATCTGCCAAATCTTCATTGATTCAGGAAGTATAACTAACTTGTCCTTCACAAAATGTGATATAAAGGGCACACTGTAAGAAGTATAATATTTCAGCTAAATGATTTTCCAGCTGGGATGTTTATTCTTGTATCCTTGGAATCAGTAAGTGTACCCCATTAATAATTCATTTCTTTGATAGTTGCTACTCTTAAGAATGATCAAAGGAGTTATTTAAAATAATAATGTGGCTAAAAGGTAAGAAAAATATTGACAAGTGTTTAGTATACAGAATAAATCATTTATATGAATAAGGTCCATATATATGACAGATTAGAAGAATAAGATATAATAAATAATTGTGTCTTTGTTCATTACTGGACTCCAGAGATAGATCATTTATTAGTCATCCTTGTTGTAGTCACTCTTAGCATAGGAACTCAAATACAGCCAGCCAGAATGCAAAAGTGACTGAGCCCTAGCCTAGTGGCTCTTCCATTTATATTTCTAAGCCTAAGCACCAGATCTATATAATTATTTATTAGAAATAATCTTCCCTTGGATACTTCATGTCAAACCAAATATGTTCAAAGTAGAACTCATGATCGTTACAAAGCCGTCCCATCATTCTCAGACCAACCCACTACTAACCTGCTTCTGGTTGTCAGTCCCTCTTCTGGCTGTCGGACTTACCATGTACCTAGTTACCCAAAAATGAATCCCGGGGAAGGGGTTACCCTTGACTTTGTTCTCTTCCCTAATTTCCCACCACCTGAATAAATGTCTGAGGGACTCAAATATACCTCCTACCTGTATATTAAACCCATTCCCTGCTTTCCATTCTAACTGACATTGCCTCACCAGCTCTTGTGTGAACACTGTAATAACTTCTTAAATGATCTCTCTGCTGGCACACTCACATCACAGATTCGACTATAGTATTTCATTATTTAAATCTCTGATTGCCTCTGTTTGCCTACAGGATATGGTTACGACTTCACCTGTTCTCTCCAGTCTCACCTGCTACCATTTCTGTTGAACTCCACTCCCCAGTCCCAAGTTTAATGCCCCTGCCCTTCCGACCACCTTTTGCCCAGGACTCTCCCACCTATTCACCAAGACTTAGCTCAATATCATCACTCACCTGGCTCTGGAATGTGCAGGCAAATGCTCTCCCCTTCACTTTCATCTACTATTTGGCACCTGTCACACTAAGTGAACTTAATTTGTTTATTTACATGTCTGCATGTAATGTGACCCCACACTGTGAGATCCCTGGGGACAGAGACCATATCTTCTAAATTAGTTGAATTCCTAGCACCTTGCACTTCAGCACTGTCTCCCCCAGAATTAGTGAACAATATACTTCTTATGTTAATTAATGACTACTAATCATTAAAATAGGTGCCCCTAGAATTTTGAATGACCACTCACTTAGTTGTTTGCTAATTTTAGAGCAGGTAGCTGTAAGAAAAACGCAATGATGTTGTAAAAAACCTCATTCAAAATTATTCCATGTGCACTGTATTCCCAATTGCATGGATAACCAGAAGTATCAAAAATTTTATTTTAGGAAATAATTAGTTCCCTTTCCTCAGCTGAAACATGGTTCAAATTATGAGGACGGGGAAATCTACCAAGTGTGGAAGAATAGGAGCAATAAAGTGATAAAATAGTCTTCAAAACGCAGAGAAATTGAGGAGCATTATATGTGAGGCTTTAAGGAGTAATACCAGTTTCTTTCAAGGAATCAGAGAGAACAATTTAACTCACGAAAGAGGATAGACCACAGGTAATATTGGCACAGAGAGTTCTCCACAGGATGAAATGATGATAGCTCACAGATGAATTCTTAAATCTTAGTTTTTAATGAAGAAGATCATAGGGAGATCACCAGTTCTGTATTGTTCTTGGAAATGCAAGATTAATGCTATTACATTCAGGAGTGGTTGTATCAGAGCTATTCTGCCAAACTGACACAATAAATCTAGATAAATCACCAAGTGGAGGGCAGTTCAATGAGAGTTTTGCAGGAACTCAAGGGTGAAATTAGGCCACTGGAATGTATTGTTATGCAAGTCAGTGTGCCAGATTGCAAAGGTGACCCTTGTCACTAAGAAGGATTCGGGGGTATGCAGGAATGTAGATCTCGGGAAGCACACCACTGGTGGGTGAGTTTAGACCTTGCTCAGCCCCGGTATTGGATAAACCTTGAAGGAATTTAAGGAGTGGAGATGAATGACTCCACAATGGAAAAGGGGGACACCGAGGTTTTAAATACACGTGGATCTTTTTTTTTTTAAGATTTTATTTATTTATTTGAGAGAGAGAATGAAGGAGAGAGGGAGAGCATGAAAGGGGGGAGGATCAAAGGGAGAAGCAGACTCCCCTCTGAGCAGGGAGCCCGATGAGGGACTGGGTCCTGGGACTCCAGGATCATGACCTGAGCTGAAGGTAGTCGCTTAACTGACTGAGCCACCCAGGCGCCCCACGTGGATCTTTTTAAAGAACATTTTCAGTAGATATAACAGGATGAAGAAAGGTGGGAGGTGGGGAGAAAGATTTTTTAAAGGCCTTTGACAAGATTCCATACCAAAGGCCATTACTTAAGGTCAGCTTGGGATCAGGGTCCCTATTTTTTTTTTTTTTTTGGTGAAAAAAGTGGCATTAACAAAGGAAGCGAGGAGTAAGGAGAGGTTGGGACATCCAAAGGGGATGCTCATTGGGCATCATCCCTGACCGGGGCCGTTTGATTCATGAACAGTTCAGGAAATCCCTTAAGTATCTAGGAAGTGTAAAGTCAAGTTCATGAGGATGGATAACAGGAAGCTCCCAGGAGTCTTGTGCAAACGAGCAGGAAAGCGACATATTGTTCCAAAGTGAGTACGCACACGCAATGACTCTAGAAGTAAAGCAGTCAAACTGCAAATATGGAATGTTGGCCGTTGGCCATGACTCTGGAAACAGACCGGTCAAAGAGTGCTGAGGATGAAAAACATAGATTGTCCTTAATGCTGCAGGCCAAACAGCCTTGGAACGGCCACACCAGGGAAGAGTGCTAGAAAAAGTCTATGCTCTTGTCTTGTTTTTATGAAACGCTATGGCAGCAAATCTCCAAGTTCACGTGCAGTTCTGAGTGCCACTAAAGAAAGACGGAGCAGAGCTAGCCGTGTTTGAGAATACGGCGTGCCTTAGCTAAAGTATCCATCAGGACGATCCACTTCCTGGGTGGGCGGGGCCCTAGAATCAATGACCCAACCACATGAGCTATTCTTTGCGAATAAAAGTTGCTAGTGCAGTTGATTCTTTAGTAGTGTAAGGCACAGCAAGGGCTTTAAAATGAAATTTACCATTAGCCTATCATTTTTTTTCTTAAAAATTTTATTTTTAAAGTAAAAATTGTATTTATTTTAATATTTTCCCTTTCAGTGTAGAGCAAGAACACAATTCATAATACATTGCTTTCCTCTTTTTTTCCATTATTTGGTTTTTGGCATAATGTAATATATTCTATTTTTTAGGCCAGTTATCCTGAAGTTCTTGCCAGTACAAACTTCACTTTCCTGTTCTAGCTTGAGGTCAAAAACCACTCAGTTAAATTGCTATACCAGCATATAATTAATACCTTAAAGGGTATTTAAGACAATCAAAAAACTTAGCAAAAGTACAAACTGAAATTGCTTTATAAGTCAATGTTTCCTTGAATCTTTTATTTCCCTTATACTTTGTTTTCTCACTCTGAAAATTTTCAAATTTTCCTAAGAGGTGACTGATTAAAAATGGAAACCAGAAAGCACTTACCCTTTGGTTGAATTATATGTAAAGATTTGTAGAGTCTCTATCTAAAAAACATAAATTACTTTAAAGTTTGACTCATCATAATAAAAAGTGAGTAAACTGCATTACACTGTACTTTTTTCCATGACCTCACAAAGAGACAAACTGATTTCTTTGAACTAAGAAGGTACTGGTTTCAGGGAAAATTTGTCTGGGAGGAAAAATCTGCTTTGGACAAGAAGGGAAAACAGCAAATAGATATTGATAGGTCTGGGAGGCTAGGCTGAATTCGGAACAGAATGTAAATTTTCTCTAAGTTGCCAAGCGAGTTTCCTGTTTGAAATTATAGAATCCCCTGATAAGTTTTAAGTTGTTGAAAATGAGATTTGAATTCTGACTGATTCTTTTTGGAACAGGCTGGAGGAATTATTTTTCTATTTAAGAGTACTAAAACCAGAAGCTCTTCTTTTACCAACACATTTCACAAAAACATTTGGTAAGCATTTTGATGAGCACAGAACTCAAATTGCTCTTTCTCACACATCTTGGTGGCTTAATTAGCTGAGAAAATTGTTTCCTCCTCTGGCTTTCACAACACGCCTCTATCATAACTCATGTCTTTATCTGG